TGCACTAATATGGTTAGAAAATCCACCACAAACATTAGAAAAAATAAAAGAATATGCTAATGAAAATATATGTACTGATTCAGAGAAACTAGCAGATAATATAAAAAATATTCAAACTCATAAACATAGAAAAACATGTAAGAAATATAAAAATATAAATTGCAGATTTAATTACCCAATTCCTCCAATGCCACAAACAGAAATCTTAGAGCCTATAAAAGACATTACAAAACATGAAAAGGATTCATATACAAAAAAATAAAAACAATACTAAAAGATAAAACTATAGATCTAAAAAATTTAGAGTTTGATGCATATTTAAAAAATAGTAGGAATAACATATGAGCAATATAAAGCTACAATAAGATAGACAATAACAAGTATAAAAAAAATTTATAAACGAAAACCAAAAGATATAAACACAAATACTTTTAATAACAAATTATCAAATTTGTGGCAATCAAATGTAGATATACTAATTATTCTTGATCCATATGTAGCAGCATCATATTGTTTATCATACATTGCATGTATTGAAATAGAAATAACAAAAACATTATCAACTGTATTAAAAAAATGGCAAGAAGAATGAACAAATGTATTTAATAGAGTTTGGTTATTAAGAAATAACTTCATACATGGTAGGGAAATGCCAATTCAACAAGCACTTTTTTTTAATATTGTCAATCCCATTTCATCATATGATTAGAACTGTAAAGTTCATTGATACTAAACCACAAGAACAATGAACAAAACATTTAAAAACGAAACAAAACCTTGCAAAAATGCAAGAAGATGAAACAAACATAGTAGTACTTGGACTAATTGAAAAATACATGCAAAGACCAGAAGAATTAGAAGATTTAACATTAGCAGAGATAACAACTGAATATATAATTGAAAAAGAAGTAACAAGACGAAAACATTAAAAAAACAATATAATTAGATATATAAACTTTAGTAAAGAAAAAGATCCAGAAAAGTGGGCTTTTGATAGATTAATCTTACATAAAAAATTTAGAAAAAGAAGAAGATCTTAAAGAAATGTACACAACATATATGAATGCATATGAAGCAAATATGGAAAAAATAAATGAAAAACAATATCAATATATATATATAGAATAGTAACAAATGAGAGTGAATTTGATTGGGAGAATCCAGAACAAGAAGCAAATAAAATATTAACAGAACAAGCATAGTATATACAAGAAATAAACATAAACCAAACAGATGAATTTGATATAGGGAAAGATTTATTCAAAATGAAAAATAACAAAAACTTAAATTTATATATAAAAGATAAAATATTAACAAATACAACAATTATAATACAAGATGAATACCTTATGGAAACTAGTAAATATCACCAATTATGAAGAACTCTTAATAAAAAGTGAAGAATAATACATGATGACTTCATATTGAAAAAAATAAAACAACCTAACAAACAATTATGCTTATTTTTAACAAGAGGAGCAGGAACTGGAAAATCAATGCTTTTAAATACACTTACAGAAACACTCAAACAATATTATAAAACAAACCAAGATATAAATAATGAACTAGGACAGACAATATTAATAACAACACCTACAAGAAAAGCAGCATGTAATATAAATGGTTCAACAATACATTCAGCTTTTGCATTTCAACCAGAAGCATCAAAACAACGTCAAACAATATTAACAAGTGACACATTAGATAAATATAAAAGAAAGTTTTCAATAATAAAATGTTTAGTAATAGATGAAATATCAATGGTAAGTATAGAAATGCTACAAGATATAAATAGAAGATGTGAAAGCTTCAAAACAACATATGAAATAGACTTTGATGGGATGGATTATATATTTACAGGTGATTTCTATCAATTAAATCCTACATTTGAAGCACTAATTTATTCAACAAAAAAATATAGACCTGAAAATGATGTCTCCATACACCACCCATGGAAAAATAATTTTAAAATCTATGAACTTACTGAAATAATGAGGCAAAAATATGATATAATCTTTATAAAAGCTTTAAATAAAATAAAAATAGGAGAACAAACAGATAAAGAGCTAGAATATATAATTAAACAAGTCACCACAGATACATATAACACGAAATACTATTCTATATTTACAACTAATGAACAAGTAAGAGAACATAATGAAAAAATAATACAACACATACAAGGTAAAGTTATAATTATAGAAGCACAAGACAAACATGGAAATTCCTGTCCTACACATTTCACGCTGCCTGATGACACAAGAAAAACACAAGGACTACATAAAATATTACATTTGAAAAAAAAAATGGCAATTAAAATAACACAAAATATAGCAACAGAGATGGATTAGTAAATGGAGTAGATGGAGTATTACAAGATGTAACCCAGATTGAAGAAGAACAAATAATATAGATAGAATTCCCAAATATAAAAACAGGTGAAAAAACAAGAGCTAAAGAAAACATAACAATAAGGCAAAATAATGAATAAAACTGGACACCAATTAAAAAAATAACAAGAACAATAAATATTACTAAAAATAAAAACTATGTTATAAGTAGAACCCAATTTCCAATACAACCATGTGCAGCAAGAACAATACATAGAGCACAAGGATCAATAGTTATGTAATTAGGATATGACCCATATAAAACAAAATATCCAGGACAAGCATATACCGCATTATCAAGAGCACAAACACTAAAAGGGATACATTTATATAGACCAATTGAACATAAACATATTAAAATCAATAAAGATGCAGCTAAAAAAATAATAAGAATGACAACAGAAGCACCATGACAAATTGATTTAATAGATTTACAAGAAGAAGAAAAAGCTAACCAAACAATTATACGAGTTCTAAATACAAGATCTATTACTGCACATCAAGAAGATATAAAGAGTGATTCACAATTATTAACATCAAATATAATATGTATGCAAGAAGTAAGAACACAAAAACATGAGGAATTATATTTTAATAAATATAAATCATATATACATGAACAACCCCCACATATAGCAATATTGCATACAAATGACTACAAATCAGAAATAGTTGAACATTTAAAAACAGAAACAATGGCAATGTCATATGTATCACTAGAAAAAAATTTAAAAAAAATTACAGATAATAAATTTACATAGAAAACCTGGAACAAATATACATATATTCATAAAACACTACAAAAATATATACAGAAAATAGATAATAAAAAACCAGTAATAATTACAGGAGATTTTAATATTGACTACCAAATAGAAGAAGTAAAACCACTTCAAACAATAATGGAGAAAGAAGGATATATACAAATAATAAAATACAATACACGTAATAATAAATTAATAGATCATATATGGATAAAAGATATAATATATACAAAAGCAGGAATAGCACCTGCATATTGGACAGATCATAACAAATTATATATCATAATAAAAAATATTTAAAAACAAAAACAAACCAAGCATTGCTGCAATGCAATGCGCAGCAATTTATTATGGATATTTATTAAATAAAATAATAAATCAATTTAATGATCTGATATTCATAACATTTTAATTTTATATTACCTCACAATCTTTTCTTTGAGGCACAAACCAAAAAAATTAAGTGAAAACATATCCTACATTTTTAGTATGTCGTGGGGAAATTAATTTTTAAATTAATATATTTCATTTTAAGCAGAAAACAATCATTGTTGGATTTTCTTTCAGAATATAATATTAATTCTTTTTAGAATTGATATTATTAATAGGTTATTGGATTTACATTCAAATATTTTATCTGAGATATAAATAGAGACTAAAGAAAAATAAAATATATCTTATTTAAAATAGAATTTTATAAAATTTCTAATTTATAATTTAATTAAAATACTTAAAATCTTCTAATACTATAAATATATATTTACTCAAGAGTTGCTGGTTACTTGTGGCAGCTCAATAGCTTCTAGTCATAAAACCTAAAGTTTGTATATCTTGCTTCTTCTCGTTTTGCGTACACACAATCAAGTCAGAGAGAAGAAGTAAAAGTGGTGTGTATTCACAGGATCCTCAAACCATGTCAGAAACTTTAAAAATCATCTAAGAACTTACATTTGTGAAGTAAGAGCATGTCACTGAGCAAACGTTTGAGATCTGGATGTCTTGACGTGCTGGGATCATGCTGGGAGCATGTTGGGAGAGGCTTGGCAACTTGAAAGATTCCTTGAATTGAAAAATCCTTTTCTTTTTCTTAAGTTTAAGTCTTACACAAGTTGATCGGCGGCAACACCCCACAATGGATTCCACTGGACCTTTGGGGCAGTGGTTCTAAGCACATCACTGAAGCTCAGGAACTGAAGCGTGCACTGCCACCTTGTTGCCGCCCTTAACTTTGTCGACGGGCTCACACTCAATCTCCATTGTCATACTTGTCTCTAATTGCTTAGTCGCCTTGGACTTGACCTCCGTCCTCATGGGCATCTCGCGAGTGGCTTCTACTTTTGCCGGATTAAGAAGACTACTGAGTTTGAGCCTGACGAGGGTCGGACCACCCCTCAAGCAAGCCTTAAGGTACTCTTGCTCCCCCTTGGTTTCCTTGTCTTGGAGCTGCTGGTCCATCTTAGTCCTCTTGATCATAGCCTTCCCACCCTTGGCCTCTTCGTTTTCGTAACATCCTCTCTTCTTCCCATCGTCCCTCACGAGTCGATTGTTACGGATGACGAGCCTCTCCATCCGCTTCCTTTTGCGCAAACCCTGATTTGTGTTAATGCTAAAAGGGTTTTTATAGGCAAAACGAAAAGGCCACAACCAAATTGTACGAAATAACATAAACTGTGTATATTGATAAATAGTACGGATGATCGATCAAAGGCCGAGGAGAGTTTTCACGTTGATCGGATAGCTTTCGTTGATGTTTCCAGACCATAGCTTGTCCGCGATGAGCTTGTAAGTGGAGCCTGTGGGATGATACTCGTCCCAGAAAATGTACTGTGCGGCATCCTCACACACTGGAACGTTTGGCAAGCAAGGGACGGAGCCATTGAAGTTGCCAAGGCCGCAACAGGCAGTGTCATTGTAGAGAAATCCTTGAAAAGTTGAGAGTGAGCGATCGAAAAGCAAAAGAGCTGGAGTAGTTTTTCGCGTACCGTATTGCGAGTACTTCTCAGAGATGTCCATGAGAACATTGTAGAGGCTGTTGTAGATGAGATCTGCCTCGCTGAGCGAAGATCTCAGGCGGACGAGCAGATCGAAGAGCTTGGTGTTGTACTGCTGAGACATGTCGTTGAGGAAACTGGAACCATCCAGTCTGATCGTTGAGAACTTCGCGAGCTGCGATGGTACAGAGCCGAGTGGAGACAGAGAAGCGACGACGATTCGTCGGGCTCCAATGCTGTAGAGCTCGTTGAGCTGCTCGTCGAGGCCAGAGATGAGGAGATCGATGAAGCTTTTGCGGTTGTAGTCACGCAAGTAACTGGATCCCGGAACCAAGTAATTGTTGATGAAGTCGTTGCTTCCAACCGAAACGTAGAAGATCGACTTGGAAAAGATTTCGTTCGTTCGCTCTCGGCCAAACTTCTCGGACAGCTCGCTCTTGACGTCTTTGAGATAAGCTAGCTGCGTCTGCATTGGAATTCTTTGACCCTGGAAATGATAAACCAAGTCTAAGTTAAGTTCTGAGCAAACAAAAACTAGAAAGTAGGAGCTAAACAAAGAACCAAGAAAAAAATTTCTCGACAAAAAAACTAAGATAAGAACTCACGAAGATCGAGCCAGTAGCGTTGAGGATCCCGGATCCAGCAGAGGCAAAGTTTACACCTTGATCATAACTTGGCCGGGACAGATATGGCGGTACCAGCGGAAGATTTAAGAAATCGGCTGGTAGAGGAAGAACACTAGATGTAAGAAGGAAACGAAAGAAGAGTTGAGATTTTGGTACCTAGATAGTCGATGCTCAAGCGTCCATTTGTGAATCTTCCAGTCGGCTCATGAGTGTCGAAATCCCTGCCATAGGGAAGAAATTTCGACTGCGCGACCGTCCAGAGCCAGTTATTGTTGCCACAATCCACAGTAGAGTCGCCGAGAATGAACAGCGCAGGGACGACAGGCTTGCCAGAAGAATCGGCAGCGGCGATGCGCGCCGCGATCACGAGAAATAGCGCAAGACGATGGATCAAACCTTTGCAGTTGCGCAACATTTCCATCGGCGATGGGAGGGAAACGATGGAGCCGACCTCGGCCCATGGATTCCATATATTCAAGGAAAGTGCTATTCTGGAAGGAGGGGGAATTCGAAATTGCCCTAAATCCCGCCCGGATTTTAGGGCTCTTGCTGGAAGAGATTTTAGGGTTTGCTGGAGGAGGAAGAATGCCTGCGCCTAAGTACCACTGCGAGTACTGCGACAAGACGTTCGTGGATGGTCCCGCCGCTCGACGCAAGCATCTCCAGTCGCCGTATCATCAGATTACGAAGAAAGCGTGGTTTGATTCTTTCCGAGGTAAGTTTAGTGATCGTTTGTCTCGTTTCGGTTGGAGCAATGTAAAGATTGCGTTGCTAGATCCTGCGGAGCTCCTGGCCGAGAATCCTAACCGTGGAATTTGCGCCAAGTTCACGCGAACGGTATGAGTTTGCTCTTCTAGAATTGAGATCAGGAAAAAAACTTTCTCAGGGAAATTGTGAGTATGGATTCAGGTGCAAGTATATACATCCAGCGCGATCATCTCAAACTTTTCCAGGCAAGAGTTTCTTTCTGTATTCTTGCTCTTCTTTACACCTCATCGTTTGGTCTTTTCAGCTGGTGGTCCTAGGAACGCGGCATTTTCTGGTGAGTCAGTTCTTGATATTCTGCTGTGTCGGTCGATTGTAACTTCATTGCATCGCTGCTACAGGGCGCTTTGCAATTCCTCCTTCCTTACAACCCCCACCAGAAGAAGGATACGATGGTACTACAGTGCCAGTGCCTGACTGGGGATGAATCACTTCCAACGTGGCCTTTCCACAGCTTCCAGTTGACGACAGTTTTCCTCTGAGGTCTGTGACACGGGCGAGAATTTTTATTTTCTCGTTCGGTGGCATGTCTTCCTCCCGTAACCGTTACTTTTACGTTGGTGGTGACAAGCAGTGAAATGAAACTCGAGCGATGACGCTGCTTGCACACACAACACACCAACAAAAAAAATAAGGCTCTCTTATCTCTCTTCGCGGCGGCAGCAGCAGTCTTTAGGCAGAGAATGTCTCTGACTTAATGATTGTTTACTGATCCTAGTCCCTTTCAGGTCTGCGGTTGCGGACAACTTGGTACGACTGTGTTGTACAGCGAAGATGTGGAGTTACAGAAGCCATGGCCTTATAAGATCAAGGGCAAGCCACAGTGACAGACCAGGGAGAAGGGAAAAGAATGGGCCTTTTTATAAAGCGCTGGAGACATGACGCGGGGACAGTGTACAAAGCTCAGCTCTATCAGTTTTGCGGATAACTCTCCAGCTCAGTTAGCGTCTTTGTCGAGGTGGACGCTGACGTGGGTGGAAGATCGGACTCCACGTCTGGGCAGTGTCGTGGCCACATTGCCATCCTTTCGTCCGGGAGGCTGGAAGTCAGTGTAGTGGGAAAGCCAGGCCTTATTTGGAGCTCGTGAAAGTGAGGTTGGTTGCTTACAAGGAAGAACAGGGACCCAGGCAACTCAAGGAAATCTCATTGGAGCTTACTGGATCGTCATCCGACGAAACACTCGTATTTACTTCCGGCTTTGGAAGTTAAGGGAGAGCGGGAGAGCTCGCAGTCGGGATCTCTCAAAGTCATCCGGGGATTCCAGGCTCTGGCACCGTGTCACGAGATGCAGCGGTAGATGGTAGTAGCACCTGGAAGGCCGATGCAACTGGTGGTGATCGTCCAGTTGCTAATGTCCAATGGACAAGACGCGGCTGCAAAGCGTCGATGCTGCGTTGTGAGGCCTCCTCCCCGGTGTCCCCGGAGGCTGGAGATGGAACAAGGGAGCTCCTCGCGGTGGGCTTTCCGGGTGCGTGCTACGATCAAGCCTTTTGCGTCTCATGCGACCGAGACCATCGGCTCGGTTGCTTTCGACAGCTCCAACGAGTTGATGGCAACGGGGGGTATTGCTAGGAAGATCAGAGTCTACGACATCTCGGCGATCCTGGACTCCGAGGACAAACAGCAGCAGGATCAGGCTGCTGATGAAGACGATGAAGATGGTCTCGAAGACGAAGACGAAGAGGGCCGCTTCGTGAGCTCTCGCCGGCGTGCTCGCAACACTTTCGACACGGACAGGAGCTCTCTGTCTGTCATCTGCGCGCCGTCGAGGCTGAGCAGCTTGCAGTGGCGGCCGGGAAAGACAGGGACGATCGCATGCGGGGACTACGACGGGGTAGTGACAGAATGGAGTGTGGAAAGACAAATCCCGCTTGTGGAAAGAGACGAGCACGGCGGCCGGCACGTCTGGAGCGTCGACTACGCGACAGACATGTCGGGCGTGTGTGTGTCGGCCTCGGACGACGGGACGGCTCGGGTGTGGCAAGGCGGCATGGAAAGGTCAGCTCTCACAATTCGGGCACCCGACTCAAAGCCGTTTTGCTGTGCAGAGTTTGATCCTCTCTCGAGCACGCTGCTCGCGCTCGCCTGCGCCGACGGCAAAGTTTACGTGCACGACTTGCGAAGGCCCGAGTGCCCGGTGTGGACGCTGGCTCACCACCGCCGGGCCGCGAGCTATGCACGGTTTCTAGACAGGGAAAGGCTGGTGACCGCGTCCGTGGATAGCACTATTTGCGTGTGGGACTTGGCGGCTCCTCCGGCTCCGCGGGTGGTGGAGAGCTTTAGTCAGCACCAAAACGTGAGGAACTTTGTGGGGCTCTCGGTGTGGAGGAAGGGAGAGATGGTGGCGTGTGGATCCGAGACGAACCAGGCATACGTCTATCAGGTCGGGAGCGGTGGTGGCGGTGATCAAAGCTTTGTTTTGAGGCACCAGTTCTCGTCCAGTTCTTGGAGTTCTTCCACGGATTCCTCCTCCGCGCGGAGGAACTCGAGCTTGGCGAGCGCGGTTTGCTGGATGGAAGATTGCTCGTGTACTCTCGCGGCTGCGAACTCGGAGGGAGTGCTGCAAATCTTGTCTGGGGAGTTTGGCGGTGTTTAGAAGATCCTCTTCATCCAAAGGCCTTTACCTTTAAAATTTTCAAACATTCACAACTCGTTTCTAACTCCAAGATGGAAACAGGGTTCATCATTCCCAAGATTGATCTCGTGAGGAGCTGGAGTGGTGGATGTTCCGGCTCCAAGGCTCCCTCAGCTCATCAGCAGCGTTGCTCTTCCATATTCATTACTTCGACGACGAACACTTCTGGTGAAGTTATGATCTCTACAACTGGGCTTACATCCCTTCGACGAATCCACATTGGGTGGTGACTCAAGGAATTGAAAGCAAAGGTGAAATTTACTCCATAATAGTTTCTTATTCTCTTTTAACAAGTATTTAATTGAAAAAGTTTTGGTTGGAAAGAATATACCTAGAATATTTTAGTAAATTTAATACAGTTAAGCTTCCTAAACAAAAAATGAATGAATATACTAATCTCATCACGAATATTCACAGACTTTTAGGGTTCAGTAAACAGTGTTCTAGTTCAGAGGGACGTATGAAAATTTAGCATGGAATATACATACAAGAATATTCAAGTGTTATTTCCACTAGTAATGGGTCTCTATATCTTTCTTATTTTTATCCACATTAATATTCCTATTTAAATAGTTTGCTACCTATGCAGCAACATTTGCTTTTCTTTTCATTTCTATGGCTGTATTTATGTAATATATATTTTGTGTCCATATTTTAATTGGTGTATGTTTTGAATATGTAGTAGCTGATTATGAATGTCTTGCTTAGTTCTGTTATGGAAGAAGAAAGAAAAAAATGGATAGACCAAAAGCTCTAATTCTTCTAGAAATCCAGCCAGTCATACCAAATTTATGTTTAATTGGATGCCAGAGAAGAACAGTATTTTATGACTATGGGTTCTGACGGAGCCTAAATGGCAGCCTTGGGATGGCCTTCTAGCATTGTAATGATTAGACAAGTGAGGGAACACCAATTCCTTGCCTTATAGATCACAATTTTTGGAGCGGCTGGCCATGTAATTGCATGTTGGATTTTAGTGGATTTCCATGTTAAATTTGCTAGTAATGATAATCTTATTAGCTTACATGCAAGAATCCAGTTCTTGTAACAGACATAGTGGCCTGATTCCTTAGTATCGAGTTGGCTTGAATCATCAGAGACTTTAATACATTGCAATCTAAGGAGAAAGGAACATATTGTTTTCCCAATGTTGCTATACTAAAACGAAACAAAGTAATACAAACCTCTAAAAGGACAATCAAGATGCTTACCTTTGAAGGTTTTTAAACACATAGTCTGATTAGGAACGAGTTTAAAAATAAAAATCAGATTGAAGAATATCCTAGAATATACATGAATATTTTAGGCACCCAAGTTTCTTTGGTATTTTAAGTATTTCTTTCTATACTATATTAACTACATTATATTTGCTTATTTAGTGGGTTTGGGTCAAATTTCAGGGAGTGGTGGTATTCTAAAGAAAACCATTACATATTTTTATTTAATTTAAATTTACTAGAGTGACCATAATTTATGATTTGAGGTACCTGACATCCATAATGTATTAGGCAATTAATAATTTTGATAATATACAATTATTGTAATATTTATCAGTAGTCCATAAAGAATTTTTATTGGAAAAAATAACTAAATTACCATCATATTGTAAAATTAAGAAACAATCACAAATGTTTTTGGATTGTGAGGGCCAAGTTCCAAGCACTCACAGGATGTATTTTCTAATTCCCAAACTTTTTGGTTTAATGAATATAAAAATAATTTACAACTATATATATTAAAATATTTTTACCATTTTGAGAAATTAAAAAATTATTAATGTGAAAAATTGAATATGAAAATAAATCATTTATTCTAATATAACATCCATATATATTTTCAAAAGTAATATTTTGATTTTAATATGTCAATTCATCTGATATACCATTTAGTATATATCTTATAAGATACTTTTTAGTTTCTTTTTTTGAAATTTGTTTTATTTGAGAGGTAGAGCAAGAAAATAACTTTCCAAAGAGTCATGTCTCATGAATTTTGGTGCTGTGTGTTGAGGATTTTAGAATATATAATACATCATTTATTAGTACTTTACCATATTACTGTTTAATAGCTTCACAATTTTAATTGTCTCTGATTTTAACATCTTTCTGAGCAATAGAATTTTGAAAATAACCTGGGAGTTCTTTATATAAGTAATCTTTCCTAAACTCTAAAAGCTGATCAATTCCATGTTTAATATTATTTCCTAATATTTATGTATATTTTCCCTTTAAAGAACATTGATCTTTCAATATCCTTGAGATGTTAGTATTCTATCTTCATCTATATATGTTATAGGATAATCTTTATTATGATTGATATTGTCTAATAAACTATTAACACTTCCAAAAATTCCTACTCTTTCAATTTGAGGTTCATACATTTTAGGGGCCATAATGATTTCTTGTTGAAGAAAAAAAATAATATAAAATTTTAATAACTGATAGATCAAAGAAGTCACAATCACTATTATTTACTCTTCCTAAAATGTTTACATTTTATATGCATGTTAACTTTATTTTTTTTATTATTTCAGTGGTTCTTAACAGTTCTATTTTTGGAGGAATGTATATTATTAGACATAGATTCAATTTTTTTTTATTTCTTGGACACTAAGTCTTTGACATATGTAATTTGACATACATACATATGATGATTTTGCTACTCATGCTTTAGATTCTATCCCAGATCCTGATTTATTATTCATTGGATATACTTATGAATATTCTATTAGATTTTCCATTCACAGAGAATAATCTTTTCAGTGCTTTAGATCAAGTTCTGAAAAATATGCTTTAAAAAATGTTTCTAAAACTTAAAACCTGAATTATATATTACTTATAAATTACAGCTACGAAATAGATTCTTACTTTAGATAAATTAATTTTATAGCATCTGAATAAGTGTCTATATCTTAAATTTTAAGTATTAATTTCAAAAAAAAGAGTTCTTAAATACCTCATATTTCAAATACATTTAAATTTTACACCTTTATCTTCTTATCTAATGCTATTTAACCGTATAACCTAATACATTAGCAAGAAAATGTAGTTTTCTCCAAATATATGTTTATTTATGAATCTATCCATCATTTTTCTCCATTTTAAGCATAAATGATAGTTTATATGATCCAACACACATCTCAAGCCTCCTTTTTTACCATAAACTTGTAAGATTTGGAGACTTGTCTATCAACATAAACTATGGATGAGATATCTATATGTTGGAACTATGGTTAGAGATATATATAATTGTATTGAGGTAATGATCTTTGATCATGCTATTCAAAGAGTTATGTTATTAGCATAATGCATTAAAAGAAATACTCACTATATTCATAGCCAAATTGGCAATAACACCAGCAGCTACATGCCTGATAGTCTCTTAAACTGTGTTTAGCAGCACCAAAAATGACTTTCATACATCTTTTTTTTGCCAACTCTAATTGTCCCCTTGCTTTGCTAAATTGAGGCATGAGATGGCCTTTTAAAAAGCTTGTCATCATAAAAACTTTACTGAGCACTAATATAAACCCTAGTAGCATATTCCATCCACTTTTAAGTGTTTCTAAAAAATTTCTACTTTCTCTACTACTTTGCAAAGAGGCTTTCTCTTTATTCTTGACAACCATGAGTCATTTGTATTGTGAAAAAAAAGTCAATACCATTTGAAAAATAGTATATATGTCACTTATTTGGTTCTGAAAGAATATTCTCTGTGTGAAATTGAATATTTTCTAAGTGAAATACATATTCCACTCATGAAATTGAATATTCTTAGTGATTTAGAATCTAATGGGTATTATGGGTGATTATATGGGGACCATGGCTATGTAAATAGCCCATTACATGACCATTGATAACAATTCATCCATACCCATTCTTCATATTTGAAGCTTAAATACCACAAGTTCAAAATTTCTCAAATTTATCAACTTACTTGCTATATCATATGGCCTTCAACAAAAACACCTTAATTAATAAAAGATTTTTTGCATTGCTCAAGTTTACTAAGGGGTTGAGGAGTTTAGAGAGAGCAATTTCAACTATTAATAGTTGTGTAGTATGGCACTATGTAGTATAGTGCATGAAATTCTATAGAATTCTATTTTTTTTATAAAGAAGCTAATATAACCATTTAGGATTTCAAAGTGCTTGAATACCTAGTTGCTCTTGTTGTTTGCAAGAATTGGCTAAAATTTCCCACTATATGTTATGTGTAGAAGAATGAGGATAAGATTTTATTGAGATTGGAAAATAATTGTACCATTAATAAGTCATATAATCACATATAATTTATTTTCTAGCAAATCAAACAATTTCCTCCAAAATCTACTCAATAAAGAAATTTCTTCTCAGCCTGCAAAACCAAAATCTAGCTTAATAAATTATCAAGCTCAAAGGTATTATGTGCTCCCAAACCTTCATATGTTTCACCCACCTCTTCATATTGAAAAACTTAAGGAGTTTGAAATGTTTGAGGAGTAAAGTGATATTATAATTGTGAAGCTTCAAAAGGTTATTTGTTTAGAGAGTGATGCTTGTAAGCAAGTAGGCTCTTTTTTGGAGAACTTTAATAGTATATCATTGGGCACGAATGGTAAGTGATGGTAATTACAAGATAGCCACTAAAGGTATTTGAAAGAATATATAGAATATTTTGCATATTCAAATTTTCCTTTTCCATAACTGTATAGATTCAATATGAAAGTTCCATTCTATAATATCATATTATTTCTAAACTTATAATTACATATTACTATACAAGATGGGGTTCATCAATGACTCTAAAAGTTGCTTGTGCAACCATTCCTCGCTAGGATATGATTTGGGAATGAAAATCACTTACCTACATATTGTTGATCATAGAAATGAATTTTATTTTCAAAATAAGTCATCTCTTCATACATGAATAATCCATGAAAATGAATTTGGTTCTTGGAATAATTATCCCTTCAAACATAAATGATCTCCCTAGGCTGGAATTTTGACAAATCTATTGCAAAATAGTGTAACTTATATAACAATACTTTTTTGAATTCTATAAAGTGAGGAAATGTCGTGCATGTGACTTCGGGTATCAAAAGTTACTTGTCAACCAATCCTTACGGACACTTTTACCTTACTGCCACAATGGCAGGAGGTCGGTATTGCTAGTTCCCTTTATTAGCCCCTCTTGTTCAAGTGTTAGTTTACTGGGCTTAGCACATGTACTTAGCTAGATGGACATAAGGTATGAACTCTTATGTGTTTCTTGCTGAGCATACTCAGCCTAGCTCTTAGTTCTCTTTTGCTCTGTCTTGCACTGGCTTGACAAGAACCCTCGCGTA